TCTTCACAGTTAAGTCAGGCATACATTTCAAAAGGTGGCCTCTAGGCCCTTCTCTCTCTTACGTGCACACACTCACAATCACACAGTCTCGCAGTGGGAACAATGTCCAGCCACTGGGTGTGGCCAGCTCAAGTCAGGTACTGCACCACGAGGAACATGACTACACAGGTGAGCAGCATCCCGCCGATCATGAAGTACTTGTCCTGGAAAGCCCTCTTCTCAATGAGTCGCATCACCGTGTTAGATAAGCCCAGCATGTTGGCAATATCAAGGATCTTTTTCTGAGTCCCCTTCAAGGTCAGTCTCTGGGCCCTCAGTCCCTCCAGAATACTGTGCCCGCCTCCAATGAGGTCATCCATGCCGTGGTGAATGTTGTGGAGGGAGGAGTTAAACTGCAGTGATTCGTCCATTGGTATGGTGGTGGCAGAGTCATTAGTGGTGAAGGTACGAGACAGAAGCTCCTCTCGCTGTCTCTCCTGCTGCTCCCTGGCATAGCGTCGGTGCTGGAAGTTTCGGAGAGCAGTCTGCAGGTGCTGGACATCATACTTTAACTGGTCAACTCGAAGTTTGGCATTCTGTCTTTTGTTAGGGGGTTCCTTGCTGGACAAAATCTCCAGACGTTCTAGATGGCTGAATATCTGGTCTATGCTTGCTTGGATTTCATTTTCTACTAAGTGCAGAGACTGCTTGTCTGCCGTCTCCAGGCGTCCCATGTGAGACTGGATCTCGTGGACCTGCTTGTGCGTGGGTTGGTACAGTGGCTCCATGTCGCCGGCCCCGCCGGCCCGGGCCCTGGCTTTCCATAAGCAGAATTATCTTAAAGCCCAAAGCAAATACTGATGCAGTTCTTTTTGTGTGTGTTTAGACTTGTTTTTGTTTTTTGTTTGTAACAAAAATTATCACCTTCAGGTGATAATTATAAGCTTGACAGTAAGTCACCACATCATCCATCTGCTGTCCCTCTTGGCATAGAAATTAGTTCAGTTTGCTCCACTGGTATACATTAAAGTGACACAAGTACATTCAGAAACTCCCTCTCCCCTTAGCTTCTTGTCTCAAGGTTGCCATCCCTTGACCCACCACCTCATCCCTGGTGCCAACCAATCCCTTTTGTCCTGATTGTCCATTTGGCTTCTTTTCTGCTAAAACTCCCCAGCACCTAAGCATAAACAACATTTGTAGGTCAAAATTGTAAAAAAAAAAAAAAAAATCAAAAGAGCTGTCTTGATTCTATAGTTGCACTGGAATTAGCATCATCAGTGACCCTTGTATATGTCATGTGGTTCTTCTAGGGTTTCACACACTTTGTTACATTTGATCCTTCAAACAGTCCTGTGACTATGTCCTCATTCAGCAGAGGAAGCTCCTGTGGCTAGGTGATTTTGCCAGCATAGCAAAATTGGAACAAAAACCCATGTCTCCTGCCCCTGGCTTTCCCATTAGCCCATGGTCCTGCTCAGTGTTGTATTTTGAAATAGTGATCCTGTTCAGGAGCTGGGAAATAGTTTTTCTGAAGGCGATTTCTCTCATGGTTGTAATGGGACTTATTTGGGAAGGACTTCTTTCTGTAATGTAGAACAGACAAGATTAAATTTTTTTAATATTTATTTTTTAGATGTAGATAGACACAACACAATGCCTTTATTTTTATGTGGTGCTGAGGATCGAACCTGGATCCCACCTGTGCTAGGCGAGTGCTCTACCGCTGAGCCACAATCCCAGCCCCAACTTCATAGTTTGTTCTTGAATTCAAATCCATCTGGCATTTGGATTCAATTTTATTTTTTGAGCACCTTTTACATGCCAGACATCAAAGATAGGATGGGCGGGGTAGACAGATACGATCTCTCCATGTTGACATCTAGTGCCAGAAGACAAATGAGCAATTGTAGTATTTTAATAAATAACCCGGGGAGAGGATGTACAGGATGGGATGGGAACACATGCCAGGGACATCTAACCCAAACTTGACAGAAAAAGTCTCCCAGAAGAGGAGACTTCTAAGTTGAGGACTGAAGGATGAATGGGAATTTTAGCTAGATTAGAATCAGAGTAAGGTGAACAGTAATGTTTCTAGAAGATGAAAAGACGTGAAGGCCTGGAAGTAAGACTGTGATCCATCCTAACATAGCTATCAGGGAGACTTGGAAAAAGCAGAAGACTGGTGGGAAGTCTGTTGGACATGTTTAGAAGATAACTGTCTCGTGTCTTATTAATAGAAAAAGCTCGAGTCTCCACCACCATCCACCAACCCCTTCCTGGAAGATGAGTCAGCACCAGAGATGGAGGAGCTGGCAATCGAGAAGGGAGAGTTAGATCAAGTAAGTCTGCTTTGCGTTACCATGTGTAACCTACCCAGTCTTCCTGTCTGAGAATGGATTGGCTAGCTTCATGTATGATCCTTTGGCTGTTACCCACATTCAGAGATGATGATAGTGGTGGTCTTTATAGAGGGCCTTTATCTGGAATTGTATTCAGAAAACAGAAAAAGCAGCCCTTCCCACCCTTGCTCTTTGCTCCCAAAGAACCTCACCTCCAGCATTCAGCAAGGCTCACAAGCTTAATCAGACCATGCGGCAGGGCACGATTGTACTCTGCCCCATTCATCATCTCCTGAACTTGTCAGCGTCCCTTTCCGATGCACTCTAATGTGGTACTGTGATGATGTGAGAGGCTGAAAGATCCTGGGGGTAGTTAGCAGCACCCTGGGCTGAGAGAGGCCTCCATGCAGCGTAAGCTGATCACTTTAGGTCTGGAAGCCATTGGGGAGGCCTGGAAATATCAAGGTGACCACTGGCATCTTTGGAGTGTTACTTTTCTAAGCACACTAGAACTTTAATTTCCTTTTGATTTTTCTGTCCAGCTCTAAATTTCCTCTCCCTTCATCCTACAGAATGGTGTTTTTGTTTCCCTACCATTTTATGACAAGAGAAGTTAGAGCAATAAATCAGAACATTTCTTTTCTGGATAAGTGATCCTTCTTTTTAATTTTCTACACTTGGCTGCTAGAGGATTACTTTATGATATTGTTTTACTCCAGGCACCACCAAAAGGGAGGCTGACCAGCTTTGGAAACCCATAGCCACATGCTTTGCTGCTGGCCCTGTGTTGCTAGCATGGAGAGGGTAGGTGTGCAGTCCTGGCAGGAGCCAAGAAAGTGGAATACATGGAGCAGTAAAATGTGTCTGGTCCACTGATTAAATAATTGTGATTACATGGACACCTCACATTTTTGTGGTGCTTTGTAATTAAAAAATCTTTTATAGGCCGTATTTCATTTTGCCTTCACAGTGCCTAGCTCTTTTTTTTTTTAATATTTATTTATTTATTTTTTAGGTGTAGATGGACACAACACAATGCCTTTATTTTTATGTGGTGCTGAGGATCGAACCCGGGTCCCGCCCGTGCAAGGCAAGCGTTCTACCACTGAGCCACAATCCCAGCCCTAGCACTTTTTTTATAGGTGATGAAACTGTAGCACAAAGAGCCTAGTGACTTGTCCAAGGTCACATAGTTTAGAAAAAGAAGAGCTAAGACTGGAAGTCATGTCTAGAAGTCAGAAACTAGAATTTTTTTTCCAAAAGGTTGTTTTTCTTTTTGTTTTGCTTTGTTTTTAAATACATAGAAAGCTCATAGATACAAGTGAATGAACAACACTGAAGAGATATCTTGAGGCTGTATCCCAAAGATAAGTGGGAATAGGCGTGATTGATTTAAAACCATCATATGATTGGCTAGCGTGGGAGGAAAAAAAAATTCTTCTATCTAAAGAAAAGCAGTTCCCACATTGTGAGAGCCAGGACTCAGAGGGGTGGAGGGGTCTCCTTCTTCCTCATTTGGCCACCTGTATCCTAAGAACATGCTTTGTGCACTCGTGCCATTTGCAGGGCCCTCGTGTCTCCCCAGTACTAGTTGCAGCCATTATCATGTTCAGAATTGTGCAGGAAAGCATTCAGATGCTTTTCATGCTGCCGTGAGAAGATTTCCCTTTAGCTGGTCATCTCTAGATATTATTATGCTGGATTATGATAGATTTTTCCATTATCTAGGAAATCAGTTTTGCCTGGTAAAATAAGATTTTTCTGTCTCTTGGAACTTTTTTGCATATTATAAAAGCTTGAAGTTTTTGTAAGACTAAGACCTGCCCATCCTAAGGTACAGAACTCTGACATCTGACAAATACATGGTGTAAGGCAGAGCCGTGTGGTAGAGGAAGTGCTGGACCCTGGTCTGCCATTAACTGACCATGACCTTAGATAGTTTACTTACTGTCTCTAGACTTTCCTGCTTTCTTTATCTTTAGAGATGGCTAATAGTTTTCAAACTCTATTCCTTGATATCCTGTCACATATAATGGTGGGGAATTGGGAGAGAGTAGAGACCTGGGTCTTAGCCAGAGGAATTCTAGTCCTAGTCACATTGTACTGTGGAATTCTAGGTAAAATTTCTTTTGATCCTGGGGTTTTATGTCTGTTTAAAAAAGAAAAAAGAAAAGAAAAGAAAAACTAAACTAAATGGGAAACTCCTGGTCTTGATGGTCCATCAGTAATTCATGGACTGTTCCTCATTAGTAATAAAACGTTGACACTAGTGACTAATGCCTCCTCACATGTCATCCCCAGCCTCCCATGCCTCACCAGCACTTGTCTTTGTCTCTGGCAGGTTAGGTGGAGCCCCAGGACCTCCCTCTTCTCAAAAGCCTGTGGGCTTCTAGAGTTGGGTGCACAGAAAGAGCAGGACACCTGTGGGATGTTGGGGAGGGATTCCATAGGATGTCAGCCGAGAACCAGCCAGAGGTGGTTGTGTGGAAAACCCCTCCTGGTTGCCCTGAGTGACCCAAGTTATTCCCTTGCTGCAATTGGTAGGTAGCTGGCCCTCAAGGTAAGGATCACTCCCTGCTCACTACTGCAGCTAAGCCTGGCTGTTGGGAAGAGAGGGTGAACTTGCAAAGCAGTATTTACTTTAAAGGAGGCATGAACAATTTGTTGCCAAGATAGTCCCAGTGATAAAAAAATGACATATGAAAGGGAACCAAGGGTACTGAAAAAGAAGAAATCAGGAATCTCTGGTTTAAAAATGTACCCTTTTGGTGATCCAAGCAGTTAGATTTAATCTGTTTACATTGGATAGTAATGAAAGGAAATGGGACCAGCTGCAGACCTCCTTACTGTGACAACAGTAACCTTTTATTATTCCATCAAACTCCAGGAGGAAATAGCTTAAACATCTGCAGCTTTTGGACAGAATTCACACACTCAGAAATCCAGCCTGAATGCTACTGCTAAATGACTTAGTGTATTCTTTAAGCCAAGGATCAACCCTTTAGGGAGCTGCATAGTGCAAAGGAAGACACCAGTTTGAGCTGAAATTCCAGCACCTACCATATAAATAGGAGCACATTCATGAAACAGCTATAGGCAAGAGCGGGGGGAAGTAAGAAAAAGAAATTTGAGCAGTTTGTGCCCCCTTTCTTCAGCTCACACTAAAAATGCTGGAAGAGGGCCTCCATGTTGTGGTGACAGGACTGAATGACCTCTCCACACTGCAGATGAGCACTGTTAGTGGGCAGAGGCAGGGCAGAGCAGTCACCTGTAGGTGGGGTTGGGACACCAGCCCTGTCTGGTTTGTGACTTTTGGAGTGTCCTGGGACCTTATCAAGCGTGACTTGTGAAGACTCATCAAGATGAGTTGGTTGGAATACCAGGAAGTCATTCTATTATATCACTTGGGGTCTATATTTAATACCAAATGAATCCTTAGACCTATTCAGGCATAATTTTTTTTCATGTATTGCTTTAATGCATACATTGAAAAAAGAGGAAACTACAAGCAGAATAAATAGATTAAGATATTACTAAAATTTCTTCACATGCAGGGTCCAGCTCTTTGGAACTATTTGTTAAAAAAGCTTTATGTTGCTGGTTATGGTGTTACACACCTATCTCTAATGGCTTAGGAGGCTAAGGCAGGAGGATCCCTTCAACCCAGGAATTCCAGGCCAGCTTGGGCAACGTAGCAAGACTCGCATCTCAAAAAACAAGCAACCAAAAACAGCTTTATATTTTCAAATAACTATAGATTCAGAAGTTGCAAACAGTACAGAGCAATGCTGTGTGCTTGTCTCTCAGCCTTCTCCAGTAGTGATAGCAAGCAGAACTAGAGTGATCATCAGAAGTAGAAAATGGGTCCAAACCTCTTTCTCAGGCCTGGATGCCTGTGTTTTTCCACACACTGTTGTTCTCTGAGTTTTGGAATGTGTTGGCAATGGGGTGTTTCTTAAGAATGCCCCACTGCTGCCCCGAACAGTGGTACACACTTGTAATCCCAGAGCTTTGGAAGGCTGAGGCAGGAGAAGCAGAAGTTTAAGGCCAGCCTAGGCAATTTAGGGAAACCCTGTCTCAAAATAAAAAGGGCTAGGGGTATAGCTCAGTGGTAGAGCACTCTTGGGTTTAAGTCCCTGTACTGGGGTTGGGGGAAATGTCCTGCTGTTGTATCTGCAGTTTTTTTTGCCAGATCAGTGGCACCCATTCTCCAAAGTTTTTTTGTTGTTATTCCTTACTTTTAAAAAGCAATTTCAGACTTAGAAAACAGGTGAAAGGGGCTGGGATTGTGGCTCGGTGGTAGAGCGCTCATCTAGCACGTTTGAGGCCCTGGGTTCAATCCTCAGCACCATATAAAAAAATATATAAATAAAATAAAGGTATTGTGTCCAACTACATCTAAATAAATAAATAAATATTTTAAAAAAACAGGTGAGAGAATTTTATAAGGAACTCTCAAATATCTTTCATCTAGATTCAGCAATTGTTAATATTTTGCTACATTTACTTTATTTTTTCCTCCCTATTCTTTCTCCTTTCCTCATTATTGCAAAACAATTTGGAAGTGTTACAGACATATGCCCTTTACTCCTAAATATTTCAACGTATATTTCCCAAGAACATTCACTTAAAATACCACACAGAAAATTGAACACCAGTAGTATATTTTTCTTTAAAGACTTTATTTAAATTTCATAAGGTAGCCATTTCAGAATAATGCATTAAAACCCTGTCAGCAGTGTTTAATTGGGAAATTGCACATAAATTTGTATGTCAAAAAACCAGATACAATATATACATGTAAAAATGAGAATATTCTTTATTATGTAAGCTCATTTATAATTACCAGAACATATCCTGCAGAAGTGTGAATATTTTCTTCCAAGAAAAGGCAAAAAAAATTAATCAAAGGAATAATTATATGATGATTATGTTTTATTAGTAAAAATATAACTGGGTATAGTGACCATATTTTTCAAGTCTAAAGTCAAGATGTAGTCTTACAAATTCAGACAAATTAAATCACATTTTAAAATTTATTTAGTCAATTACCTTTTTTAAAAAATATTTTGTGGGGCTGGGGATGTGGCTCAAGCGGTAGCATGCTCGCCTGGCATGCGTGCGGCCCGGGTTCGATCCTCAGCACCACATACAAACAAAGATGTTGTGTCCGCCGAAAACTAAAAAATAAATATTAAAATTTTTTTGTTTTCAGTTGCAATTGGACACAATACATCTATTTTTATGTGGTGCTGAGGATTGAACCCAGCTCCTCGCACATGATAGGCAGGCGCTCTACCGCTGAGCCACAACCCCAGCCCCTAGTGAATTACCTTATCAAAAAGAGAGGAAGAGGGGCTGGGAATGTGGCTCAGTGGTAGAGTTCACGCCTAGCATGTATGAGGCCCTGGGTTCAATCCTCAGAACCATATAATATAAATAAAATAAAGATATTGTGTCCAACTACAACTAAAAAATAAATACTTAAAAAAAAAAAAAGAAAGAAAGGGAGGGAGGGAAGGAGATACTGACTTACAAAAGGTAGAACAAATGGGTGACAGCCTTCCCTCACTACCTGCATTCTTCATTGTGGGTCTTGCATTTTAAACTAATGGAAGCACAAAAAGTTTCCAGGGCATCTCTGGGTATAGCAAGTTCAAACTGGATAAACTAGTCTTGTGCATTCCCTGAGGCCCTCTTGCAATCTCCACCTAAGGCCTGACTTTGGCAGTGGCTTCCAGATGATGAGAGCAAACAAGCCAGAGTGTAGTCAAGAAGGACCAGAGTTTCTAGAAATCATGCCAAAAAATTAAAGATAGGGAACTCTTAGAAGGTGAAAAAGGAAGAGAGCTGAGCACGAGATTGAATGGGTCTAAAGTTGACATTTAATTTGTGGTAATTATCATCAGTTTTTACAGATGTTTTTAACCATTGCATTGCTTTATAAACAACAACAGGAGAAATGGCCAGAAAAGGTAACTATTATTTCTGTCTTTCTTTGGGGACTTCTAGTGGCTGTTCCAGTACTTATGAAAAGATAGGGACAGTTTAAAAGGGTAGATCTTAAGTATACTTAATAATAGGAGTGGGAAAAAACTTTGGGAGGTAATGGGTATGGCTCTGATGGTGGTGCCAGTTTCATGAGTGTATACTTAACTAATGTTAAGATGTATACATTGGGGCTAGGGTTGTGGCTCAGTGGTAGAGTGCTTGCCTAGCACGTGTGAGGCACTGGGTTCAATCCTCAGCACCACATAAAAATAAATGAGTAAAATAAAGGTATTGTGTTCATTTCCAACTAAAAAATATTTTTTAAAAAAAGATATATACATTAAGTATTTTAAGACAAATGTATACATATTCCCAAACTCATGAGGATGTATATATTAAATTTGTACAGCTTTTTATGTTATTCATATCTCACTAAAGTGGCTTAACAAAAATAATATGTGTAATTCATTCAACAAATAGGTTATGGCTGCCAACTTATAAACCAAATTTTACTCTAGTATCAACCACAGTAAGATGTCTTTGGCTCAGAGTCCTTTTGTTGGCATTTGACAATGGACAGAATTGGCTTTTTTTAGGAATAGAAAGTAATATGTGAGAAGATCCTTACTTTTTTTTTTTTAGATGTTTGGAAAGGATTTTTTTTTTTTTTTTTGTAGGAGGATGGTGCTAGGGATTGAACTCAGGGACTGGTGCACGTGAGGCAAGCACTCTACCAACTGAGCTACATCCTCAGTCCTGGAAAGGAATTTTATAGCAAATACAGTTTTTACAATGCTTGCCTGCCAAACTGTTTTATTTATCAGTGATTTTCAAGTATTAGTATAAGGACCAGTTACTGGTCTATTTTTCAGTGCTCTATGATAAAAAATATAGACAAGATAGTCTGCCTCCCACCCCCACCCCCTATCCCTACCCCCCAAGCCAGGTTACCAACCATCCTTTCTTGGAAAGAACTGCCTTATTTTTTATTTTTAAATATCTTTTATTTATTTATTTTTATGTGGTGCTGAGGATCGAACCCAGGGCCTCGCCTGTGCTAGGCAAGCGCTCTACCACTGAGCCACAACCCCAGCCCAGAAAGGACTGCCTTTATGCTGCTATTTTAGTCTTATAAAATTTGGGCGCCCCACTCCTTGATGTATACCCAAAGGTCTTAAAATCAGCATACTATAGTAACATAGCCACATCAATGTTTATAGCAGCTCAGTTCACTATAGTAAACTGTGTATCGACTTAGATGCCTTTCAATAGATGAATGGATAAAGAAACTGTGGTATACGTACATAATGGAACATTACTCAGCATTAAAAGAGAATTTGCAGGTAAATGGATGGAATTGGAGAATATCATGCTAAGCTAAGTAAGCCAATCCCCAAAAACCAAAGGCTGAATATTCTCTCTGATAAGTGGATGCTGATCCATAATGGGGATGGGGGAGGCATAGGAAAAATGGAGGAACTTTGATTGAGCAAAGGGGAGGGAGGGGAGGGAAGGTGCAGGGGGTAGGAAAGATGGTGGAATGAGATGGACATCATTACTCTAGGTACATGTATGACTACACATATGATGTGACACTACATCATGTACATCCAGAGAAATGTAAAGTTGTACTGCAATTTTGTACAATGAATGAAAATGCATTTTGCTGTTATATACCTAATTAGAATAAATAAATAAATAAATCTTTTAAAATTTGGGCATATAAAATGTTTTCTTTTATGAATTTGTGATAAGGATAGAAAGTAGCAAAACAAAAAGTTAACAACCCTCTGTACTAACCCTCTCTACCCTTCTATTTCTTATGTTTACTTGTCATTAAAACCCCCAAGTTTAAGAGCTATTGTAGGAAAACATTTATGTGAGAGATAAGAGTCTTAGTTTAGGATATAAATAGCTTTGTTATGTGATTTTGGGCAGACTATCAGGACCTCAGAGCCCCCATTTCTTGAGGTGTAGAAGAGTAGTAATGAGACCTACTTGATGGATTATTGTGAGGAATAGAGGAGACATTATTTGTTATTGAAGTACTTGGCCCATAACAATCAGTAAATGGAGGCTCTTAGAATTAGATCATGTGAAAGCACTTCAACACCATACAAATACAAGGTGGTGCTATGATTAGCCAGGATTTAAAATTTAAAATATCAATCAGATGATGAATAACTGCCAAAATGAAAACGCATGTGTTATCTAAGTAGCAGTAAATCTTTCATCATACACAGCAAGTAAATAATGCTAACAAAGCTGGTGTCTCATTCACAGACTGGGATGAGTCATAATGTAAGACATATTCCTACTTCATTACATTGAGTATTTGTTTACCTATAATCTAAAAGTATACTTTGAAGTGATGTTTTCTTTGAAACTGCTTGAAAATTTGCAAAGATTACTCAAATTTTGGATTTCTCTTTACTTTTTCTCTCTTTTTTCTTCCAGCCAAAGAAGCCTAAAGTCCCAGACAACCCATTTCATGGCATTGTTTCCAAGTGTTTTGAGCCTCATCTGTATGTGTATATTGAGTCCCAGGATAAGTAAGTGACAGGCACTTTGCTGATTTCAGTCAGCATTTCTACACCTTCTGGTCATGTTGAGTCTTACAAGGGCACAACTCCTTTCAGAAGCAGAAGGAGAGACTTGATATACCTGTGACCCCCCCTGGAGCTCATTAAGGACCTTAGCATGAAAGAGGCCCTGGATTCTATCTCCAATACCACAAAAAAAGAAAAAAATATATTTTTATATCTTTTGAATATTATCAGTTATTTTGTCTATAATGTCAGAAGTCTGAGGATTTTTTTTAATTAAACCCCACTTATTTATTTATTTATTTATTTATTTTTAGTTGTAGATGGACACAGTATCTTCATTTAGTATTTTTTAAATATGCCTCATCTGTGCTAGGCAAGTGCTCTACCACTGATCCACAACCCAACCCCTATTTTTATTTTTTATTTTAAGATAGGATCTCACTAAGTTGTTGAGGGCCTTGCTGAGTTGCTGAGGCTAGACTTGAACTTCTGATCCTCCTGTCCTAGCCTCCTGCGTCACTGTAGTCACTGGGATTATAGGTATGTGTCACTACACCTGGCCAAAAGTCTGAGTTTTGCTATAATACAGCCCTGTATAAATCTCAGAAGCCCCTTGTGGGTACTTAGCTCTCATTGAATTCTGACATTTGTCAGCTCACAAAGCTTTACAATGTCAGGCTTTGGACATTGTAAGAAACCTTTATCTCTAAAGTATATGTTTTCAAGTATAATTTTACTTTTCATCTTGAAGTAATTTTGACTATCAAAAAAATTACAAAAATAGAACAAAAAATTCTCATATACCCTTCCCCAGATAATATTAACATTGTATATAATTACAATTATCAAAATCAGAAAAGTAATATTATCTTCTTCTGGTCCAGGACCTCTAATAATTTTGTGTTTAGCCACCAGGTCTCCTCAGTCTCCCTTAATCTTGAATAGTTTTTTGTTTTTTCTTTATCTTTCATGGCCTAGACTCTTTTAAAGGGTATTGACCAGCTTTTGCTTGATGTTTCTTCTTATGCTTTTTTTTTTTTTTTGAGTCAGGTGTCTCAGGCTGGTCCTGAACTCCTGAGCTCAAGCAGTATTCCTGCCTCAGCCTCCCAAATAGCTGAGACTATAGGCCAGTAGCAGAACTATGTCCATTAGAGGTTTCTTCTTCAACCCTTGCCTATTTGGCAAGATGACTTTAAAAGTGAGAATGCATTCATTACAGTGCATTGTATCAGGAGGCACACCATGTAGATTTATCCCAATACTGCTGATGTTAACTTTGATCACTTTTGTAAAGTGGTGCCTGTAAGCTTTCTCCACTGTGAAGGTACTATTTTTTACTTGTAACTATTAAGTTTCTTTCAGAGAATACTTTGAAACTATGTAAATATCCTGCTTCTAATCAAGCGCTAGTTCACTGATTTCAGAATCCCTCTGTTATTTTTGCCTGAAGCAATTATTATCATCAGGTTTGCTTCATATCGATTGTTTCCATCATTTCTTCTAGACTTACCAGTTGGAGTTCTGTTGTAAGGAACTTTCCTCCCCATTTGTTTATTTATGTTAATATGGACTCATGGATTCTTATTGTAGTTTATGGATTATCCATTTACTGTATGTGCTTTTCACAAACTCCTAGGCTCCAAAATTTTTTGCATATTAGTCCACCATGATCCAGTTTCTTCACAGCCAGAAGGTGATCATGTTCCAGTGTCTTGTTGTTCTTGTTGGGGATATTAGGAAAGGAGGAAGACCTCTTCGTCATATTTTGGAAAAGTAGGGTTTCTGGAAGAGGGCAGGTCGCCCAAAGACAAGCTGGCCTGGACCCTGAGGTCTCAAATGAGTATAGAGAGGAGTACAGAGAGGTCCCATGGAGGAGAACAGCAGTGCCTGTGAGAAAGCTCTTGAGGGCAGTTCTATATGAAAACTTTGCCCAATATCCCCTCACTTTTTTTTTTTAATACTTCTCTCATAAGTTAATAAGTACTTGTTTCTAAATGTTTCAGGTATAAACTATAAGATTTAAGAGAATGTTTGAAGTGGGGACAATATTATTATTCACTTATTTGATTTTATAGATTAATAAAGTACTTCATATTAAAATGCCAGAAAATAAACTTTATATAAGGGCTTCTATATTAATAAAAACAAGGTCCCATCCCAAGGGGAAAAAAACTTGCCTTGCCATTGATTGCCTCGTGAAGGCTCTCTTTTCCTCTTCAGTTTGTACTGGGAGTATCTCCAGCAGGCACAGAGAGGGGCAGTGGTTGCTATGGATGTTTTTGTTCTTTGAGAGTACCTTGTCTTCTGTCTTCAGAAAGATTCCTCCCAGGATTGGGAAACTCAGTGGTCATGCACTTGTCTAGCATACACAAGGCCCTGAGTTTGATCTCTAGCACTGGAAAAAAAAAAAAGTTTTCTCCCAGGTCAGGCTTGATGGTGGGTGCCTGAGATCTCTTTTACTAGAAGGTGATACAGGAGGATCATTTGAGCCCAGGAGTTTGAGGTCAGCCTGGGCAACATAGCAAGACCCTGTCTCCAAAAAAAAAAAAAAAAAAAAAAAAAAAGGAAAGAAAGAAAATAAGTAAGACACCACTTAGGAACAGAAAAAAGATTAATTATTTATTTTCCTGTTAAGGAACTAGGGATTCAAGCAACCCACTTTGATGACCATTTTCAATTAGAGCACCATCTTGTCTTATCAACCCAAATTCTTATAAATCTTATTTCAAGAAGGTTGTAACATGCATGTCTGAGATATCCACATCCTTTCCAAAAGACCTACTTCATTTGAAGAGTCATTTTTCTGAATCATAATTCTGGTATCCATTCTCACATGACCTTGATTCATACAAAGTGTACTCATAATTCATGATACTTTGGGCAAAGACCAGGCCTGCCTTCCTCCAGGCCTCTCCATTTCTCCATGAAAGATGCAGTGCTTGGCCTGCGTTCAGCCTCACTAGGATGTTTCTAGGCCCTAGGGAAGCAGTATCAGCCCCTCAGGAAGGAGGACTGAGTAGGATATGGTAACTCCAGGTTAAATGGCAGAAGTTTAAGTAGAAGATAGAGTTTAAGAACTCCATTTCCTCTTCTGTCAGAGGAGTCAGATACATTGATGCCAAAAACAGTGGTTATTAACCTTTTGTGAATTATAGATCCTTTTGAGAATCCATTGAAAACTATAGATTTTGTTGTTTAAGAAAAAAAGAGTTCAATTATACCCACATACTAATTTTGAGTATAATTTCATGGGGTTTTTAGGAAGCCCTTCTGCCACCTCAGTCAAAGAATCCTGAGGCTAGGAAAGGAACTCAGGTGGGACTAATTTCGTGCAGTTACTACTCTACTATAAAAATCAAAGGAGAAAAGTCTTAGATTGTTTACCAGCTCCCAGAGGACACAAAGCACAGTATAGTGGAATGAGGACCCGAGTGCCAGATAGACCTGGATTTGAATCGGAGCTCTGAACTTACTAGCCTGGGACGTGAGCATGCTACTTAGCCTTTCCACCAATATTTTGTTCTCTATGCAGTGAAGTTTATAATGCTTATGTCATTGTTTTGTGGTGAGAGTGAAATAAGATGACAATAGTGGTCCTTGCACACAGTAAATGGTGCTTAGGAACTATTCCTGCCTTGCCCTCCCCTGATCCCTGATTGGTTTCTTTCTCTCTCTCTGTTTTTTTTTTTGTTTTTTGTTTTTTTGGGGTTTTTTTTTAGTGATGCTGGGGATCTAACCCAAGGCCTTGCTCATTGCTGGGGAAGTGTTCTACCGCTGAGCCACACCCCCAAACCCCTCCCCATGATCTGGTTTAGGACTCCTATGTAGGTAGGCAACATTATCAATGTTGCCAGTCTCCTTCTGGGCCTGGCATGGAGTTCATCTTCTCACCTCCCCAGCCTCCCACCTGCCCAAGGAATATTCTGGCAGCACCTGCCCCAACCAAAAGCTAAGCAATAGTAGGAGACCTGAGGAACCAGTTCTCAGGGAGGAAGCAAGAAGTAGAGTCCCCGTGGCCACCTCTTACACAGATTAGGCTAAGCTGTCTTCACATGCTTGAAGTGGTTTTCTCAATTTTTATTTTTGTTCAAGGAAGAAGTTAGTATCTTTACTCAGGAATATATAGTGATTTCCCTTGACTGATTCTGCAGAAGAGAGTTCTACCTAGTCACTGTCTTCACTCCATTCTGTGTTATTTATTAGAGAAGTTATTGATGATGTCATTTTTGCCCATTTTCCTGAGTTCCTGTAACAGCTTGTTAAAATAGAGCTCCCCATTCCCCTTTCTGACTTTGTCAAGCCTAGAGTTTCTCTGTAATTAATTGTTTGTTGTTTATTTGTAATTAATTCCAGCTGACCAAAGAGTTACAAAAATTGTACATAATGCTCTTTTATGTTCTTCGTGCAGACCCCATAGTTATCAGTTACCCATCCCAGCTTTCTCTCATACACATGTGTGTATATATACACATACATTTTTTTGAACCATTTGAATTCTTTAGTTGCAGTCAGTGTGTCCCATTACTCTTCGTGTTTTATTTTAATATATTTTTTAGTTGTAGATGGACACAAATATCTTTATTTTTATGTGGTGCTGAGGATCAAACCCAGTGCCTCACACCTACGAGACAAGCGCTCTACCACTGAGCTACAGCTCAGCCCCTCCTTCATGTTTCAATGTATGTTTTCTAAACATAAGGATACAATCTGTATAACTACAGCATAAACATCAAAATCAGGAAATTAACTTGGATACAGCATTATCATGTAACCCATAGACTCCATTCCACTTTACCAGTTGTCCCAATCATGTTTATTTTTAATCCACTCAGGATCCATTCCAGGATCACAGGTTGCATTTATTTGTTCCTTCTTTCTCCTTCAGTCCAGAAACGTAAGTCAGTCCTTTACCTTCCATGACCTTGAAATTTTTGAAGTGTATAGGCCAGTAACTTTGTGGAATGTCCCTCAGTTTGGGTTTCTCTGATCTTTCCTCATGATTT